ATTCCGTGAAATCAGCTAAATTTGCAAAAGAAATCACTTGAACGGCGCAACGTAAACATTCGAGTCTCAAAGAATACAGAGTTTCCTACGCGAATGGTAATTCAGTGTGTTTAGTTCTTCATGGTGTCTTAAAGCTTTGTTCAAAACTTTATCACTTTGTTTCAAAAATCAGTCAAATAAATGTCATTACTAAATAAATTTCGAAATAAAAATAAATAATAAAGAAATCGATTTCGTCAACTAAAACCCTCTCAAGTATATATGGAAAAATGAAGATTTTTTAAGATCAGATCTTCATTTGATGAATAATATCAAGAACTTACAAAGTGAAAAAAAGCATAGGAGATTCTCAAAGAGGTTAGCTTTATTGATTTAGCTACTTGATCATTTTTTAAATATTTTCAATGAAAAACACGTTAAATGATTGATTATCGGTATTTCTAATAATAAGCTAGTCGAGAGAGAAGATTTATGAAGCCTTTGAAAATTTACCTTTTCTATATGACTTTCAATGTTTACGCGATAAACATTTGTTTAATATTTACAATTTAATTTATGTACAATTGAATTTTATATAACAATAAAAGTTTGTTATCCTAGTAACTTTGTTTAGCATTAAAATATTTTTATAGCATTTTGACATATTTGTACACAAACTGCAAACATGTATATTTATTAAATATTTATTATTGTTGCTATGTGAGATATGTTTGATTATTGACATCGTTAACAAAATTCACTCTTGCTTGATACACAAACTATTGAATTTTAATTTTAAATTTGTTTAATTATTTACCAAGATATTTATCTTTGAATACTTGATAGATTACGCACAATTTTGAAGAATTGCTCATAAGTTTAAATTGTATTTTAGACGCACAGCCAGTGTCATGTAACTTGTTTATTGTGTCTGCTACGAAGACTAATTTGTTTGAATAAAATTGAGAATCGTAATTAGGTTAAAATTGCGTATAAAATTATATGTTATATGCTGACTATACAGTATCTGAGCTATCATATTTATTGTTTGTATAAAGCACATTCGACTTATCTTTTTTTATGAGTTTTATTTATACTTTGAGTGAATATTCACAACATGCCAGAAAATGCTAAGTGAAAAATCCACGAGCTCAATTCCATAGTCTGACATAATCTTGTAAATTGGTTTTTAATCTGTACATAGACGACTGCGAGTATTAGTCCTAATTCACTGAATGAAATAATAAGCTGACGAGGAAATGATCGAGCAGTAATCGTAATTCGCATAAATAGAAAGTGCTACGAAAGCATGAAAGTATGCGAGTACTGATAAAAGGGCAAAATCAGAGTCGGATTTCTTAAGAAGCAATGAACTTAGAGTTTACGAAGTAAAGCCATCAGCGAAAATACGTGACTTTATGGAATATAATAGATGCATCATTATCTTTGGCAGTAAATATTATGATGATACCGTCGCGAGTATTGAATAAGTAATGTTGGTTGGCTTCAATGAGTTGCCAGCTGATAATTGATTAACGTGGATATTATACACAATGATGAAAGACGGAATAGTTTGTACATTGGTATTGGTGCACTATGAAATTTGTGGCGTTAACTGAAACTTTATTTTGAAGTATTATTTACTCTGAATTGATTATAGCTTAGTAAGCATTCTTATACGAGTACGGGAAATGATGCGAATGATAAAGCTCACTGAGAGCGAATCACTAGACTTGCGTTGAAGTTTTGTTGCGGTTTTTATGCTGGTGGCTAAACGAAAGCTTATAATAAGCATGAACCAAGTTGCACACGTAATAATAACGACATGCTGGAAAAAAGCGCGAAAGAATTGTTAAAAATTGAAAACTAAATTGGAGGCAAGAGTCAAACGGCCATCGGTTTGAGTACTTTAGACGCGTCACAGATGTCTACGTTGTCAATGAATCGATGATCGAGATTTACGTTACGCGAACATACCTACGTAGGTATGTATCTAGATTGGATGGCGCGAGTGATTTCCGCAAGAATGAGATGAAAGTCGCCTAAGGAGCGACACGTCACAGTTGAAAAACGCGAGGCGAGGCGAGGCGCGGCGAGACGAGGCGAGGCGAGGCAAGGCGAGACTAGATGACAAGTAACGTACGCAATTGTGCGCGCGTCCTGGGTGCATCAGCCAACGTGATTTTCGAAGATACAAGGCTATATGTAGGCGCCAGCACATTGACGACTCGCGCGCGTTGATTCACGGCCCGCGTGCGCGGCGAGCGTACGAACCGATGCGAGATGCGAGCGCAAGAGAGGGAAAGTGCATTGGAAAAGGACGACGAATTGCCAGTAGAGTTATTATTGGAATGCTGCAGTACGGATGCGGATCGAGGAAAAAGAGCATTGCGCAATCTTCGGAAACGTTTGTGTGTCGTGTTTCGCTCCTACGATCGTAGCTAGAAATAGCCGAGTCTCAGGCAAGCGGCGCGGCGACAAATGAGAAATCGTTCCGAGAGCTGCGAAAAGAGCCTGCAGCGCTTCCCACTGCAACTGCTACTGTACTGCTAGTACTGGTACTATCGCTACTGCACTACAACGACTACTAACACGCAAAATTATGCTTTACGTAGTCTGCAATACGATAAAGAGCGATTCTCCGGTTTCTTCCTAGTTGGCCTCCGCTGCACTACTGGCTGACGTAAGGTTCGACTCGCGGGAGTACGTTTTCCCGGAAATTCCAGCAGCCGGAACAAGAGCACGAGCAACAGCGGATATAGATCTGGATTCCAGTAAGAGCTGCACTTGCCAGTGCCGATCGGTGGACGCTCGCTTGCAATTTGCCAATTATCGCCGCTGACCAATGGCCGCTCGTTTGTCGAAAAGCCGCGGACGCGGCCGTGGCCGCCGACGACCGACTCGACGATGAAGCGCGACAACGCGAGCGAGCGTAATATCTAACACGTAACAGATTCGCGCTGCCGACCAGCTGGGAATTCCCGCGGACACGATTGACCGAGTGAGACCGAGACGCGCTTAGTCACTCTGCGCGCTCATTCTCTCTCTCTCTCTCTCTCTTTCTCTCTCTCGCTCACGTTCGCTCGGTCGTTCATTTACTAGAGCGCCTGCTCTCTCTCGCTATTCATTGACATCTGCGTGCAATTGCTCCGCCCCTACCCTTATACTCACCTACTCGTACTCGTGTTTACTCTTTCAAATATGTCGACACGTCTCTTCGCCAGAATATTCGCCGGCAACTTGAACCAATGATCCACTGCGAATAAACGTGATAACTATCGTACTCGAAAGATCTCGCCATTTATTCATGGCATTCTTTACTCGGTTGATTTTCATGAGCATTTCATTGTTGAAATCGAGGGCATTCTTCGGAATCTCTTTCATCAAACGGCTTTACACTGATAGCAACTGTTGGGCCACCTTGCGATTTTTCTCTGTTCGGCCGATTTACATCCCATAGACGATCCGTGTACTTTGCTTTCTTCATTTCTAAGCTAAAATACGGCTTGTGCGCTCGTTTTGTTTTCCCGTAGCCCTAAATACGCGAGACGTCCTTGATCAACACCTCGTAAACATTGGTTTTTCGTGTATAATCAAACGAAATATTCATAGTGAGCCTAAACTCGATGAAAATCCAGCGGCAACTTTAAAGTTAAGTAAGATCCAAACGATTGATGCAGTGTGCTAACATGGAAAAATGGACGTGTCTTTGGATTAAAATCAGTCAATTGAAATGAAGCTAGTGTTACAAGCCGAATGCAGTTAAAACGAAGATGAGGAAGAAGTAGAAACGTTGACAAGCATGCTTAAAAGGCAGGACACGAATTACATGTTGATGCAAAAAAAACGCAGATCGATGCACGCACAAGCGTAGTATAAAAGTTCGCACTGAACGAAGGCACTGATTCGAAGGTTTCAAATAGCTGTTGGACTGCTCTACTACAAACATGGTATAGGTACATGTGTGTTGCTGCTATCGAAGCAAGAATGCGGGGCGAGCAGCTCTCTCTCTCTTTCTCTCTCTTTCTCTCTGTCCGTTGTTGTAGTATTTGCAGAGCTGGTGGTGGGGACGAAGGAAGTCCTACCCGAGTGGGGGTGTGTGCGCAGCTTCTCTCCTTCTCTCACTCGCTGTCTTTTTCTGTCTCTTGTCTCTGTCGGGCGACGGAATCATGAATGAGTCTGCAGGCGAACCGTGGTGGTCGCAAGAGGTGTAGAATGGGTTGTCGAGTGGCATGGCTCGGTCGCTAGACCGGGTGGGAGACGAGCAGCTCTCTCTCTCTCTCTCTCTCTCTCTCTCTTCAGTGTGGGGGCGTACAGCCGAAACAAGCTTGCTAGCAAGCATAAACTTTTATTCTCTCTTGCCGACTTGCTCGTTTGGCAGCGCAGTACAGGAGTGGTATGGACTGGGAGAGGGTGGAAGGAGTGAGCTAGGAGGCTGAGAGAGGGGGATTCATCTTGGCCAGGTGAAAGAGACCACTGGCGTGCACGCTCGGCGTTTAGCCACGTGCTCCAGCAACAAGGTGTCCTCGTACAGGCGATTGTCGACGGGCCGTCGCCACCCGCACCAATTTGAAAAAAGCCATGGCGTCTCCCCCCCCCCTCCCGCCGTCGTGCCTCTTATTCTTTTTGCGGATTTCTTTCCACTACGAGCACGCGAGTGAGAAGCAAGAGATGGAGCGAGAAAAGAAAAGAGCGGCTGTGACAGCGGGATTTGTTAGATGCCTGCCTGCCTACCTACGTTCCTACCTACCTACCTTTGGTCGCTTCACACACAGGCAGGCATGCAGACACGGATACAAGAAGCAAAAGAGAGAAAGAAAAGAACAGCGCCTGTGCCGCTGAGCGCCACAGGAGGTGATACAACGCAATCTCTCTCTCTCTCTCTCTCTCTCTCTCTCTCTCTCTCGGTCTTTCGCTGGTGTCTCACCTCTTGGCTTGAGCGAGCGAGCCAGCCGCAGCCAAGCACGAGGCGAGGAGTTACTCACTCGTTCAGTCAGTTACTTTCTGACACTCGTCCGGGCACGACACGAATACACGCACACGCCCACGTTAAGTGCACGCAGACGGCTCACCTCGTAGCAGCACGTGAGCTGATGCCTGGGGCGAGAAAAAGACAGAGAGAGAGAGAGAGAGAGAGAGAGAGAGAGAGAGAGAGCACGCGAGCCAAAGAGAGAGAGAGAGAGAGAGAAAGAGAGAGCACGCGAGCCAAAGAGAGAGAGAGGGAGTGCAAAAGTGGACTCCCTTAAAGAGGACGGATTACGCCTTACTACTCCCACTCGGAACGCACGTTTCTGCGCGCCACCCCTCTTTTCGAACAAATGAGAGAAAGAGCGAGAGAGCGAAAAAGGATCCGTCTGTATAGTTACGGAAGGAAGAATCCGTTATAAGTATCAGTGCGTCAAGTGTGTCGGAGAACAGTGTTCGGGTCATCTCGGAAGTAGCAACAACAGCGGCAGCAGCAGCATTGGATTCGAATGCTGCAGATGCGCTTTAGTATCGGCACCGAGCATGTGCAAGACTCGCTCACAGGACAATACCGCAGCGACGGAGCAGACGGACGCACAGCAGCCGTCGCTTCGGGGAGCCGGTTGCGATGCAGCTACGCTGCCGGTGGTCGCTGCCGAGGACGCCAGGACCATGCTGCAAATTCTCAGCAGAGACCAGCGCACTACTTACCACAGGCTGGCCAGCAGCGGCGCGACCGGCAGCGGCACTAGAGCCCCAGCGACGCGACAGCCCCCGGCCCAGTCTCAAAAGCCGGCGCAGCCGAGCGCGGACACCGCCAGCAGCGCCAGCCCCGGCTTCTGTCCTCTGCCGGAGATCCTCGGTCTGATCGGCGACTCGGTGTCCTGGCATCATTCCCGCGCCAAGCATCACGACCGCGATGAGCTGCAGCGTTGCCGCCAACTTCGACAACACCAGCACCCTCCTGCGACTGCGAGGTGCTTTGACACGGCCAAGGGTAACAATCGGACGCATAAAGCCCCCTCCGACGTTGCCGTGGATGTTGAGCGGCAACTGCAACCGCAGCGGACTTGTAAAGTGCAAAGTAATAGCTGTGTCGATAGTGAGGATGACAACATTGTCGTGCTTAGCCAGAACGATTCACCGGCCTCCTCCTATTGTCAGCCCCCGAGCAACACCTACCGAAACAAATCACGCGTCTCCTTCGTCACGTGGTTGAGTAAGTTTACTCATTATTATTTTCACTTTTTTCCGTCGATATATTTCTCGTTTCGTTTGTTTATTTTTCATACATATCTTTCTGCCTTCCACGACAGCTAGCTTTCTTGTCTTCGCTTTATTTTCTGGACAAATGTCTACTTATTTTCTCTCTTAATCGCGTTTGGAAATTCGATTCTAACGTTACATTACACGATGAACCCAATCGCCAATTTTATTAATATGGTTTTTTATGGTTATGATCAAGTCGGCACGATTTAGCAGTGGCAATAAACAAGTTTGCTTTGTTACGATTTCTCTAATAGACTAAGTGTTGATAATTATTTCATGTTATTAGTATAGCGATCTATCTGATGATTCCGTATCATTATGAATGAAATAGCAAATATTTAACAATATAGGTACTTTATACTCCGTGTTTAAAAGCCTGCTTTGAAGCAGTCAAGCAAGAGTCTCGTGGCGGTCAACGAACGATATTGCGCGTGTCTTTTTTCACCCATTCGTTGTCCCTGTAAAATTCCCACGAAGTAACATGGAAAAGAAGGAAAAAAGCGAGAGAGGACAAATATTAAAGTGAAATCACGCAGCGCCTAACGGGCTTATAAATGAGTGGACACGAACATCGAAATGCACGACGCGTCGACTATGAGTGTAATAAACATTTATTATTTTCTAGCCCTCGTTCTCAAGCGACTCTTATTTTTATGTTAACTGGTACGCATTCTAGTAAGACTAGATCTTTGCATTTTTCGTGTCTAATGAGATGGTAAGAAAGACATGCCTGAAAGTAACTCAATTATTTTAAAACGGATTGCTATGTTGCAATGGATCTTTGAATAAGACGAGCTGCAAATTTCAAAGACGAACTTGCGTTGATTTATTTCTTCGCGAGTTTTACGCACAATTTAACGACGGAAATGCGTGCATAAGTACCTGCATGTTTCTATCTATATACATGTATTTTGGACCTAGTCGATCTAAATGCCTGTAACGCGAATAGAATTTAGAGGCTTCAATTTACAGCGTATATTTGAACTTACGTCACGATACTGTTGTGTCTAGGTTATGCTTATAAACTTATGAGAATATACCTATTTACAATATTGATAACTCTAGTAGAAATTGAGTAAAGAGCGAGAGTTAAAGAACAGACGGATAAAGAGGATCAAGCGCGAGAAAGAGAGAGGGGCAAATCGCAGAGAGGTGCATGACGTCAGTGTCTCGCATGTGAGTCGCGAACCGATGAACGTATTAGTCATCCAGCGGATTGTATTAGTAACGGTTAGCTGAGACGGGAGGTGGGTGCCGGCCGGTACGCTCACATCGCAATAGCATTCGCTATATCTCTCTTTTTTCTCGCTCTCGCTCGCACGTGTGCCTGAGACACTCACCACCGGCGCGCTTTTCGCTAATCTCTCACTGATATTTCATTTATTCTATGAGACTCAAAAAGATCAACGAGATTTGCTACAACTCCCAACATCAGTCTATTCAATAGTCATATATTGAGAGAGAGAGAGAGAAAGAGAGATAAACAAGTCATGACTTTGGCAAAACGACGCCTTATCTTTTTCCTGTGCTCTCTCTCTCTCTCTTTCTCTCTCTCTCTCTCTCTCTCTCTTTCTCTGTTTCTCTCGCTATATGCAGGAGTACAGTCAACAGGTGGCTCAGTTTTGCTTTTCTCACAGATAAACTACTTATAGAATAAATTAGTACAATTCTGAATATTAGCGCTGTACTACGTAAAACGATTACTCGAAATCGTTAGCACTCACCTTCTATTTTCTAATCCAATAGTTACTTAAATATACTGTATCAGCCTTCCAATTTGAAAACATTTTTAAAACTCAAAACAAATTTTACTTAATTCTCAACTCATCGTCTATTCGGAGATACTTTGTATCAACATCGTGTATTTCAGCTAATGAAAAATAACTCTATTGAAAGTGCTCTCAATGAAATGTCCGTTTTCTCATGGCTAATATTGACTTCATTTTTTTTACTAATCTTTCCGAACTGAAATATATATGTAATATTTCATAATTGGAATTTGATTGCACTGGTGTCTACAAAGATAGTGTTAAGTTGATAGGTCCGAGCTCTAAGCTTTAAAAACTTTGAAAACTCTAATGTTTAACTATTTCTTTTTATGTATCAAAAGTTTTCTGCATTACATTTTTCAAGAAATTTTAAAATCCTAATAAGTAATGTAAAACCCACAAAAGCAACAAACATGAGTACATTGCAAAATCATAATTATAAATTTCTCGTTAAACTGATAAAGTTGAAACATCATATATTTTAATTAATGAAAAATAAATTTATCGAAAGTGTTCCGATACGACCAGTTTTTTCGTACCTATACTTATTTTTACTTCAGTTGACGTATAAACAATAACGAAATTTGAAACTTTATCTCAAAAAGAAGCCGCTTACTGACTTATATAAAATATAGATTATAAAATATCTGCAATTTAACTGAATTTGTCTATAACTACAAATATAAATTGATCGGCGGTCTCCAATATGATACACTGTCGTATTGCAATAACAGTGTTATCGAGAATATATCTTGTTTTATTGTAAAGTACCTACAGTAATAATAGAAGATTCAATTGTATTTCGAAGATATGAACAATAAATTGTAACATTAAATCGAAATGCTCACCAACTTTATGAACAGGCTAATTTCATGTGTAGAGCATACCAATTGCAGTTTTATATTATTACCGCGTATTACAATGCTCATTAAAAAATTTCAATAAAATCTTCTTCATTCTTTGCTAGCGGAGAGAGATAGGCAGATTGTTTTCTTTCAGTTTGATACAGAAAGAAGGAGTAGGCTTACGTGAATGAAAACGGTGTTGAATTGATGAGTTGGACAGTTTATTGAGACGTGTTGATGGATGTACCGAAGAAAACTGGATCTCGAAAAGATAGAAAGAGAGAGAGAGAGAGAGAGAGAGAGAGAGAGAAAGAGGGATACAGAGAGAGAGAGAGAGAGAGAGAGAGAGAGACTGAGACAGAGAGACAGACAGATAGACAGACGGACAGACAGAAAGAGCGTTAACGGGCAGACCTACCGCAAAGAGCAGAGCAGCAAAATCTTGAAGCGTGCCGCTGGGGATGTAATTGCGTCTAATTGTCACGAGCAATGCGAGGACAGTTAACCATTACTGCATTTTTCCGCTATAGTCCGCGTGGCAGCTTTTTTTACAGAAGTTTAAGTGCAGCAGCATGTAGCAGTAGCCCACTCAGCAGCAGCGGCAGCAGCAGCAGCAGCAGCGCGGTTACGCGTACCCGGCTAATTTAGCAGCCTCTCTTTCCTCGCTCTTTCTCTCTATCCAAGTTACAACTTTTTCTGATACAAGCCCCCAGCATCGTCGAGAGAAACGAGCGTCTCGCTGTCGCTCCTGTTACAACTAGTCTACGCTATACATCGCAAGTCAAATATAAGCGCGTTTTTTACTACGTCTAATTAAAATTATTATGTCATGATTGCGAGCAAAAACAATATAGCCGTTGAAAGTCACAATTCTGTTTTGAACTTCAATTGTAAACCAATATATAAAAAACCATAGGTCTTTGATCATAAGGTCATAACGCATGAAGACCCCGTTGATTGAAAAAATAACGCAAACTCATAGCCGAGTTGTCGATTTCGTCTATAAATCTCTCTTACCTGAATCTTTCATATAATCTACTCAAGCTGCCGTCTATTTTCAAAATAGCAATAATTTATTAAATATAATAATTAACCAACTGTAGAAAACTCTATTAAAATAAAGCAGGTTGCGTTTGCTGTATTGCAGGGCTCGTCGGGCTGTTAGTAGCGCTGTTGTTGGTCTCTGTGGAGAGCGCCCCGACGGCTATGACATTGGAATCGCGCAGGCTCGACCAAGCGCCCAAGTGGCTTAATCCCTGTGGGTTTGCCGCCGAGGAGTTCGAAGGTGACATCGACGTCGTCCAGCTGAACGACGCAACCCTCCTCGGTAATATCGTCATGCAGGCTAAGACGGCTCTTAACTACGCTCATGGTTTTCGCGACGACTTTGTAAGTTGAACTCTGTTAACGTTATGAGCGTCTTTCGTTTCCTCCTCCTTCTTTCTTATCCGTTTCGTTCCTTTGTTTAACATTCAATTTTTCATTCTACGACGCCACCTCGAATCATCATCTCGTAACACGATGAGCAGCGACAATGACCCTTGATACATTGACCGGCTCGATGTTCGTAGCAAGATTTTGCTTGAAACAGCCATGCAGACAGTATGACGCCTTGTCTTGAAATAAGCCACCTGCACCACTTTGTCTATATACATGTTCTGCCGGTCCCTACTACACATACTAACTTGTAAAGTGTCGAGCTCTGCGAAAATTTGTTAGAGGCCAGCTCCATTTCTGTTTTATCTGGCTCCTTGTGATATTCTTGCATCCGGGCTTTGTGCATGCGAGACATTTACTCACTTGGAGTGGATCACATTGTTGCTGACTTGGAAAAACATTGGGGGTTTCGAGTATCACTGACTCGCAATTGCATTTACACACATGCAGATCGCAATTTTATATTGCAGTGCCACATTACGACAATTATTTGATTTTTTTTGTAATCGTTTTCACTCTCCCTCTCCCAACCTTTTGTTCTTTTTCTTTTCTTTCGTCCTATTGTATAATGCATACATTACAGTTCCTCGTTTGCAAATAATGATTATTAGATCCTCATGCGCGCAGTATTGTAGATAGATTACATGCAACTATATTGACGATAGTATGCCAATGCCACGGACTCGGCCAAGTCAAGTTAGAAATGTTATAGGCAGGCAGAGAGCGAGAAGGGCCGCTTGAAAGGTAGCCGACATTCGCGGTCCGAGGAGATCACGCCGCGTCAGCGTATACCGACATTGCGTTACCTGCATACTAAAAGTGCTTCACAAGCAAGGCGAGAGATTGTACCGGATACTACGTTCCTTTGACGTACTATCTCGTTTTACTTTGCGATTCCTAGCCTCCCTATAACGTCATGTCGTGTCTGTCAGTCTCATAGATCTTATCTGCAGTTAGCTCCCAATCGGTATCTTTGCTTTCTACTGTATTCTCCCAAATTATGTTTAGTAACTCAACTGGTTATTTATCATTAGCCAGTTTAGGCATGCATTTTTAGGGATAATGGCAAAGACGTCGACTCTTCTTTATCAATCTTTCCAAACCGGAATGGGATGTGCAATGTCTGTAACTTTTAGAAATGCCAAACGAAGCTGTTGGAACAAATTTTATTGCAGTCTTTTCTTTTCGGTATGGAGCACTCTAAAATTGAAAAATAAGGGTAATTCAGGACGGTTACTATAATAACGACGGATCTGTGAAAGTTTGGGCGTTTTTACGACTTGATCGGTCACGTTTTATTTTGCATATAAGGTGACTTGAACACAACACCAATTAACATCAAGCAAGCCTAAATATCATTTCATCGAAAATGTCATCCCTACTTTATGAAAGGTGATGGGTATAAAACAGAGTTATCTACTCAAGTATTGTTTTACTTGAAAGGGATTTTTAAAGCATTTAACAAAGGTTTTTGATGTTTCTAGCCTGTGATTCTAAAAATTTATAATTGTTTACTTTGTTGTTGTAAAACTATACACCAGATCGGAAATACATGTCTTTCCGATTGTGACAATTATTGCTGTGAGAAAAAAAGAGTCGTAAACACATCCAAACATTTCTATGCAATGTTAGTTCCTAAATGATCGCAACTTTGTTAATAGTGATGTATATGTTGTTCACGTAATTGACAAACATGAATTTAAAATTTTTCTCGAGGGAATTATCTGTTTCGCCCTGCAATAAAGTTGTAATTGGTAATGTAGATCGAATGGATGTCGGCGCAACATTGAGTAATCCTACCTTTACAAAGAATTAGCTGTTTCATATGTTTCCTTTCCCGCGGTCACTTTTTTGTGGGGTCACAAGGTTGCTTTTGCTGATGATGATATTAGACTAGCACTGGTTCGCTTGGCACTGTCACTCGAAAATAAGAACGAAAAAGATAGAAAAGAAACACGCTCGTAAAATAAACCGGTGTCTCGAAATTAAGCAAGCGCGCTCGCGCTGACAGGAAGTAGCTTGTACCGTAGGTAAGAAACTGCTGTAGAGGATCCGCCAAAATCTATTAGTCTCCAGTACTTCTCAACTCTTTTAAAATGGACCGACGACTTGCGCCGCCGCTCGTTTGTCCTTTTCGTTGTCATCCTGTCTGCTCAGCTTCTTAAATATCATTCTAGTTTTTGTTGGCTATTGCAATACATTCCGACTTTGTGTTCGAGCCAATATTTCATAAATAAAAATTCGGATTTGAGTTGGTTCATAAGTCGGTAATCGACAATCACCGGGATCCGGGTAATAATGGTGAAACAACGAAATAGAAATTATAATAAGAGATTTATCTTGAAAGAAAAGCTCGTCGAAAGATGCAACAATAATAATCGCAAGATAAAGTTGAGAATAAGAATCACAGCTCAGCAATAATACAACAGCAGCGTTCGCCTGCAAGTCTTATAAAAGATCATATTAACATTCTCAGCAGTTCGGATCATATCGTACTGTCATTGTTACTATTGCTATTGAAGAAGTCTGATAAAATGCTTTTGAGATTGATTTATTCAGAAGAAAGGAATAAAGGCATTTTAGCTACCGCGTGATTCACATGCATACATGGGTATGTTACTTCAGAAAATAAATCTGTGGTTTCTTAAATGTTGGACGTAGGATTAGCGAAAACGAACCGGAAGACTGGTTATGTCTTCCGTTGTATTACGTGTATAAAGTAACCAATGTAAAAATAAGCGCATTGACTAGGTCAACACATAGCCAATAGTTTTGATATCTTCATCGAACAGATGTCACAATATCGATGATAAGTACGTCGCTGAAAAACTTTCAAAGTAAAATAATATCTGACGTTCGAACTACAAACAACGACAATGAAAGGCCCATTAAGATTTGCAGCTCCTAGGAATTTTTCCCAATATCCTTTTATTAAAAGCATGGCTTTTCCTCTATTTCTTCAGTTTCAAACGCATCTGTTGCTATTTATGATCTCGCTTGCAATACCTTATGCCATCTCCATTATTGCATAGTTCAACTTAAAAGAGGCTTCATCATTTTAGTAAATAGGTACTGGTCCACTACGAGGTGCACTCATCAATCAATCACACGGCACATTCTCCGACTAATAATAATCCATAGATGAACAACGGCAATTACTGTTTTCATTTTGTTTTTCATAGATCAAGAAAACTTTCAACACCGACTATGCCGATCTTCATTTGACATGGAAAGATAATCATTACGACTGGCTTCCCGGTCCGAAGCAGATACCGAAAATGCTCGGCGAGCATTTGGATCAAGATTATCTTCACAAGCTGGAAGTTCGTATGGTAAGTCTAGTTGGATAAATATTTTATAAATAGCTATATCACATTCACCTTTGTCCCACCGTTATTGAAAAAGAGCACTGCATCATTGGTTAATTTCTGTTAAAATCTGGCAATTCGCTTATTTCAAACTGTTGATGATTCTTTCCTCAAACAAAACAGTGTAATACAACTATTGCTTATTTTTAATGCAGCTCGATACAGCACTATTAGATGCCTATGAATATATGCAGAGGTACGCTGTAGGGCTGGAGCAGATAGCGTGGGATCAGGAAGACTATGCTCTTGATTTTCGCAAGCAATTCAAAGATACAGAGTACAATCTTCGATCGGTAAGTTATTTTTACTTGTCATTTCGCATTATTACGCATTCGTATGCATCGAACTCCAAAATAAATAAATCACTCGGTACTCATCTTTTGTCTGCACGTCATAAGCGGAATCGAAAGTTTCTCGGTGAAATTTCGTAGTCACTGCTCCAGTGAATGGACAGCGTGTTTGTTTCGAATAAAAAGACATCTGCTTCGCTTGTAATTATATACTCGATTACTAGTGACAATAATTGTGTTTACGTTTCCAATATTGCAGGTATTATGCGAGCTGCAAATGGCATTGGCCGAGCGTGGCGTGACGCCAAGGGCAGATGTAACCCGCGACGTGATGTCCGTCGAGTTCCGCGATATGTCGGAAAGTGCGACTTATCGTAACCTGCGAGATTGGCTGATCTTCCGCGACTACATGAACGGCCTGGAATACGTAGTTCAGGTGTTTGAACACTTTATCCGGTGTTTTGAATCTTAGGCAAGTTGCCGGCCTCGTCGCTGTCTTAGCCACCTTCATTGCGCGGATTGCAGCTGAGTCGGCCAAACGACTGATCACAATTGAGCACAATATTTATTTTCGGACAATTTATCTGCTACTTCAAGACACAGACCCGTGTACTGTCAGTGCAACCATTAAACTCTTCTCGGCCGTTTTCAAGTGCAGCAGCAACCTACTGACGATTGCAAACTTTGCATCTTTCTTTCGACCAAGTTCAAACATTCATCTATCGATCGATCACCATCGGATTCACCGATTTTTCTACATCCCCGATATATTTGCATTTGATTGACAGAATCGCTGAAAAATTGATGTTGCTCAACCTCCTTCTACGCGCGTTGCTGCTTTGGTGCTTCGATTATTCGAAATGCATGTGTAAGCGAATCAATAAACAATGACAAATTAGCTTATTGGCTATGTTGATTTAGCTTTTATAAGAGTATGGCTTTTATTAAACAAACACGATTACTTCTGTCTGTCAAAATGATGAGTATTGTATTTACAACAGTGACAGTCAGGCAGAGAAATTCTGCGATTAAAGAGCTTCGGTAAGCAGAATTGTAACTGAGATTTCGTATAGATTCGTTTAGCGAGATATCCCGACCAGATATAGTATTCAATAAATTGCTAAATAAATGATTTACACACACACGCGCGCGCGCGCGCACTCATGCACACACACACACACACACACACACACACACACACACACACACACACACACACACACGCGCGCGCGACCTACGAGATGCAAAAACGATAAAGAGAAGCTTTAATGAAATAATTCAGCTCAAAAGTATTTTAGCTTTTAATTTATTGTAAACCTTTCTACAACGTAGGCAAGTTAAAAAAATGTATGATGCATTTATAGAGCAAAATCTGTGTAGCCACAGATTTTCAAAAGCTACCTAGACACTGAGTGTCGAGTTTGAAAACTTGCTGAAACACCGTTGTATTTATCAATTTCATCTGCGATAGATATTTATTGAACGATATTGTAATTAGTAGCATATTTTCAATTCTATTATATTTTTATTTATTCAGATTATTTATTTTATTTTTGTAAAAACCATGCATTAATTATAAAAATAAATTATGTATTTAAGTAAGTAAATGTGTAGGTGTGCATCTATAGTATTAAATGACTAGCGAACGTGAATAAATTTTGATTGGGTACATGCGCACGCCAGACGTTCTGAAATTCAGTATACCCCTCGCGAATGGCCGTCCAAAAGCGAGCAATGAGCCGCGATATTGTGCTGAATAAGTAAGCTAAATATTGCAATCTTTCTTAATATTTTGCAAGGTATTTCTTTATAAAGGAATTGAATTTCGTAATGTGTTAATTTTTGCGAGAAAACATTCCAAGTTGTAGTATACTACGATCCATGGTCGATGATCGATATTTTAATTTCAATTGACTCGACATAATAAAATCTGTAGAATTAAAAGAAAAACCTGCGCTCTACATACTTGATTCATTCAATATCACTTTCTTCTCTTTCCGCTTGTACTGATACTGATGAGAAGTAAGAATATCGATAGTATAAATGATGTTGTTTGTATGTTTATTGTATGTTCTGCGTACACGAGCAGAGATACTGTCACGTATGTATGTCAAAGATGAATTCAGATCAAATACTGATACTGAAACTTGAGATGAGACTTGGCACATTTCCTGGTGCTTATTTCAACGAAAATAAAAGAAATAAAACAAAAAATGAATTATTCGATAAATAGACTTGTTAGCTAAGGCTTTTATTGACTTTTACCAGAATACCTTTCAAGATTGGAAACGAATAAGAATTATTGAACAAATTCATTTGAGGTGTTGACTCGTCAATCCGAGAGGAAAGAATTTGTATTATTGGAGAAAAATAAGCAGATTCTTTTCAATTTATTGACAAGGCCGGTAGATCATACGTTATCAAAAATCTGCTTGATTTTCTTCCATTAGAAGAATTTGCCCTTCCAAATCGAGAAGTCGGCTTCTGAAATCGACTTCTTCAACACTTACAGTCGAGAGTAATGCTTAATGCAATCGAGTAGAATATTCAACAAATAAAATTCATCCTAAAACTTACTTTACTATGAATTATTTACAGTTACTATCTTCTGCACAGTCATCGCAGGATCGGAAAACATGTTATACTTGTTGGCGGCTCTGGCTTTGTCGAAGAAGACAAACGATTTATAACAACGTTCGGAAACTCCGGGTTTCAATGATGACAAAATAATACAAGCGTAATTTAAGCTTGATTTTTTTTTCTTTAATTCAAAATTAGAGGTGTGCTGTGCGTAGACGAGTACTACAAAAAAACGTTAAAAGACACTCGCATACAAAAATCTTGGCTTCGGAGATTTAAGCCGGCGTTTTTCACTCCTCAAATCCTCGCGACGATCTGATCTCTCTCTTCGTATAGATGTGCATCCTCGTGGTATAGTTTCCCTTACCCTTTTTCAAGGGACATTTTTTATTGCTCTGTCTACTTGAAGAAAGTGAAGGAAATCTATAGTGGGCTTGTCAGCAAGACACGGCTGGAAACGATCAACCAAGGTTCGTGACTTGTGTCTGCCTAGGAGCGATAATTTCTTGTCGCGTCAGGACTCAGTCGGTTTTTTTATGATACAGTAAGAAAAATGCATCGAAAGTAATAAATAGTAGGAACACGATGTGAACATGTAGGGTGCACAGGCACTGGAAGAAAACTGTGACCCTAAAGAAGAATTAGCGTACAAACAAAGGTTCCGTATAAATGGAAAAAATCGAAGATTACTTTGATGTTTCAAGTTTGTACGATCATCAATGATAGGTAAGATGTCGTGATGTAATGGGAGAGAAAGATATTAAAGGTGCCGCTATTCACTTATATACACCTAATATAATAAATAGAAAATATTTTCGACAGCTAACCTCAAATGATTTGATTATGTCTACAACTAATCGGTCGTGGGTCTTTCGTGTTTTTTTCGTGGACCTTTCAACGAAATTTTCAAATAGTTAGTTTATAGTTTAGAGCATTGCAACTGGTTAGCTATGATCTAACGCCAGACCATTTTTCATAGTAGCTTTTTCTTCTTTGTTTATAATATATATCTCTAGCACAAATCTGTGTGGCCGGGCATTGAAAATGGCAATTATTGTATTTGTCGCAACTCCATCTGCACAGGGATTCGCCAGTTAGCTAACTGCCTAAACATTTGCGAATGACTGAACTTACTTATTTTTCCAATTATCTGGACTCGTGCATTCTATGGCCTTATTTCAATGGTACGACTTTGAGTGATATATTTATATCACATGATAAACTACCTCATAATCTGATAAATTCGAAAATTTATCAGACTATTCGGTTAATTTATTACAATATATTAATATATCGCTCAGAATCATATCATTGAAATAAGGTCCCAAGGGATTAATTATGTATCCAACTTTATTAGCTTATTATATAAAAATAACAACGTGATTTTAGTAATCATAATAATATAATGAAAAAATGCACAAGTACTATTTACATGCTTTGCCCTTTTTTTAAGTACATAGGGTAAATTTTTGAATTTGATTTTCCTGGCATTTTAATCGTTTTCCTCTTTTTGTAGCCCAAGTAAATGTTGGCGATAAACTATTTCCATGATTATCAATCGAAAATTGATTTCATTGAACTTGCTACTTGGTTTCATTGCGAAAATTATCAATATTTAAGTCATTTACATTACGAGCAATTACGAGGTGATAAAGATGAAGTACATTGATAGTCTGAATCTGCATTGACAGTTTCTTTTGACACTTTGGTTATTGAGCGGTGTTCGTGTCACTTGTGTGTAAACTATTGTACATTTCGTAGCTTCAGCTAAGGACTGAAGCAATGTGAGCATTCCAAACAAAACCTCGGCGGCTCCACAAAGTCAAGCATGCTTGACAAAACGGTTCTCTACTATGCTGCGTTTTTCAACACGTGAAAGTATTCTGCGCAAAGCTATTGACGTGGCAGTGAGCTAACAGTTTCAGTAAATAGAACGATTCCAACGTACCAGCTTCGTGTGGACAGATTAAATAACGAATACCAGTCAGCGCGTGTTATGCACAACTTGTACTTTCTATTATAGCATGTATATTTTTTTCGGTCTTCATCTGTCGTCTCTCTCTCTCTCTCTCTCTCTCTCTCTCATACGATATACATATTGTTATGAAGATTTAGCTCAGTGAGTTATCCGTAACATATGTATTGCAAAATATTTACAATTAATGATTGTCGCGACACTATACAACCGTGATGATGCTCACGTATGCAGTGCAGGCAGCAGCGGTAGTAGAGCCATCATCAAGACAGTGAGAGGTTTGTCCGCGATGAAATCTCGCTTCGCGTAGCTATGAATGAGTGTACCGTGAGAAGAAGCTCGAGTCCGAAAATGCCCGAAAAAATAAATTCCATTGAGTCGAAGACACTCGATGTTATGAATAGCTAGCTTTTCGAATATTATGCGTTAGACGGGCTTTTTCAAACATTCAAATCTATTCAATATAATGACTATGTGTTTTCCATAAATCATTCTCATCAATATATCAGCAAACATAAACAATTGTTTTAAATACGCAAGTTATTTTGTCTACAAGACATATAATAAAAATCTCCAGTTGACTATGTTGCTTCACGCAGAAAACTCTGCATCATTGAAAAACACTTTCTTGAATACACTTTCTTTTTAACATTCTGTCCTTTGAATCTTGAAAAATCCATTCGATCGATGGTTATATTGCTATTAATATAAAATTGATGTAGCAACATAAAGAAATTTTGAGAGCATAGGACAAAGAGAAACCGGGAGGCGCTAGAATATCCTCTTTGCGGATCAAAATATTTCGGATCTTAGCACTCGGTATTCTATCCCCTCTCCCCTATGCCTAAATACACATAAAGAAAAAAATGGAGGTCTTGTTGTAATTAGGACAGTATACCCGCATATTGCATCCATCCGCATTCTTTTTCTATGTCTTTTTCTTTTTTTTTCCATTTTTTGCTGTTGTAGGCAGAAAGAGAAAAGGAAGGGGGAGAGAGGGGAGAGACAGCAAAGACTTGGCTACATTCTTTCTAGTGACCCTCGAGACAACTTCCAATAAATGCGAGACAAAAGATGAAAGAAAGAGAGCGAGAAAAAGAGAGTGAGAGCAAGTTTCAACGTGCTACCAAATAGCCACAAACATTTCTTGAATGAGAATGCCAGCAGATCTGAAATCCAAGGTGCTGCTTCCTCTTGCTTTTCTTTTCTTCGCTGCTTCTACTTTATTTTTTGTCATCTTCCCCTAGCTTCGGTGCCGATTGTCGACTTAGGCGACTGCTTCGATGACGATAAGTAACCTTTCAAATTTGCCCAATATCATATTAAAGTATTACGCTTAGTTACATCAGTTATAACAGTGATAATTTGGCTTCCTTGAAGAGGAAGCTTTGTTTTTATAGACGTCATTTTATCAAATTTTAATATTAACTACATGCTCAAATCATAATGCATCGCTGATACCTGTGTGTATATATATACAGTGTCAATATTTTTCTTCATTTTTCATTTTGCAGATCCGATCTCATCATATTGTCGGAATGTAGCTCAGAACTATCCCTGGCACATATCCCCATATGTGTTTATTGGTAAAGATACTTTCAATATACGTTAAATTTCTCATTAATGTGCATTTGTGTGTACGCGCGTGCGTACGCGTATATATATTGGTTGCATGATTTTTAAATATGTGAAAGAAAACGTACGTTTTTTCATAGCCATGGATACTAATTGACTATAGCAGAAATATCCAGAATTCATTGATAACGTTGGCAAATATTTGTCGTGATCCCCTGGCAAATAAATTGACAGTTCTGCTCAAAGAAATACTGTTGTGTTATTGTAGAGTTCCGACAATTGTATCTTCAATGATTTGAGCTCAATTTTAATTATCAAAACACAATTTTTGTTCATTGATTATATTTCTTCTGACAAACAATAATATTATTTTAATATTAAAAAAAAGCATTTTAATTTTCAAGTTAATTAGAAAGAATATATTATATTTTATTAAATTGAAGCGGTAACCTTTTTAATTATTTTAAATAAATTATCTTGAAGATATTAGCACGTTACAGGGTAACTCAGTTTAAATTACTTTTCAAAGAGCGTATAGACTGGAACGGGTGGTTCGGCCAGCCACTCAAAAGTTGGTCGTTGACCACCGCTGCTCTCTCTCTCTCTCTCTCTCTCTCTCTCTCTCTCTCTCTCTCTAAGCTCGTCCACAGCTCATAATTGCGCCTGAGTGCGTTATTGACTGATTCAATAGTAAATTTCGTTTATTTCTCAGCACAATCTTGCGAGTTTTAGGAACACACTCAGCTAAATAACCATCACCACTAAGTTAAGAAGATGTCAACAAGTGTATGAGCAATGAAGGTCGCTACTTACTTATACTAAGCTAGATCTACGACACACACTTACACGCATACACCTGTCCCGGCCTACTCCGATACACGAAAAGCAAAAGGAGATGAGGGGCGGCATCAAAACAATTGCCAATGAAATTAACTCGGGCAGAGAGTTTCCAGTCGTGGTCGAATACGGACGTCTTTGCCCGTGCCACAAATTTGTGTTTTCTCCGATTGTTTCATTGAATTATAATTGATTTACGCGCGTCGCATAGTGTGTTGCTGCAATTATGCAATATAAATTAATGACAAATG